CCGTCCCTAACGCGCTACAAAACGGCCCACGCCTGAAAAGGTACATGTACTACTTTGGGCCGTTTTGTTGCGCGTTTCCATTGGGATACAGCCAAGTAGCCTTCGGAAACGCGCGTTTGTCGCACAACTTTTTTACCGCAAATCGCGGTAAAAAAATACGCGACGGTCGCGCGACAGACGCACATATGCAATATGCCTAGGTGTGAACGAGACCTTAGAGGCCTTGTTCTCACCGAAAGCGTGTGCGTTCCAGAGCGGTAGCTGCTGGAACGCACCGCGATCGCTGAGAAACTTCCCCTTGGGTTTTGGGGCGATCGGACGCCTGGCAAAACTTTGCCAGCGTTCCACTGCAAACGCAAAAAATAGGGCCTGCCTAAATATACCTAAATAAACACAGAGCGTGGAGCCGGTCATAGTAACGGCTCCAGACTTCCAGAAGAGCTGCTGTTACAGAGCTGCAACACCAGGGGGCAGCACAGGACATGACATCTGTGTAAGTCGTCATCAGGACATACAGAACATACATGTATATTATTTATATTTATGCATTACATGTATTTATATCACGCTAACAATCTATGCAACGCTTTACACACAGCGCTTTACACACAGTGCTTTACACACAACACTTTACACACAGCGTTTTACACACAGCTCGGTAGACACAACGTTTTACACACGGTGTACATTGTATAGATTTTCTTTCATCAGCGTGCCGGCTGAGCGAGGGACAGTCACTAGATTCCCCCATCAATGGTAAACAGTGTAAATGGAAGAGTCAGGCCTGCTGGCTATTGTATTCAGACAGTTGCGGCACCTGCACCGGCTCCTCCCACCAGCAATGATTTGCCTGCATTGCCTAGAGAAGTGCAGGGACCCAGTGATGATGTGATGGAAGCAGAAACGTTTGATGTAAAGTAACCGTTAGCATGTTGAGGAGGGGGGAGGGGGGTGAGACCAGACTTCAGCTTTAGGAATGGCAATCAGTGGTCTGTATTCTATAATAATGAGGACACACTGACAGATCTGGGCTCCGGGTGATGTAGAGTATTTCAAGCATGTGCTCTGTATTTCTAGGACTCCTTTCCACCCTCGCAGTCCAGCGCTGTGCGTTATGTCCGGTGCATATTGCCCATTAATGTGCGTTGTATGAGGGCCGCCCAGTCATGGCAGCGGATGACGGGTTACAATGAGTACAAGTGGTGTCAGTTACAGTCTGTGTGTGGGGGTCCGGCCCGGGGCGCACACTGCAGGCGGCACAGGTGTGTAAGGGGTTAATGTGGCTGGTGGTATACCCGGCGCTGTGACACTGATCTCCCCTATGTGGGTCGGTGTCACAAAGTAACAGATCTGCCAGCTGGTTATATCCAGAACAATGAGGGGACCCTGCAGGTGGTGACACCACGATGTACATTAGAGACCCCCGAGGACCCCCGCCATCACCTCCCGCTCCTGGCTCACTCCAGGAAGTGGCATCAAAGGGGGTCACTCCACCCAAAAGTGACACCGGAGTCCCCAATTCTCTTCCTTCCCTGGATGGTGGATGACATGAGATGCCAGATGGCGGCTTTATGTTCAGCTTACAGTGCGCAGCGGCCTGCAGACAGGACTGAGAGACGGGATTTGTATAGACTGAACTACACAATACTACACACTGCACTACACTACACAGTACACAATACTACACACTGCACTACACTATACTACACACTGCACTACACTACACACTACACTATACTATATACTGCGCTACGCTATACTACACACTGCACTACACAATACTACACACTGCCCTATACTATACTACACAGTACACAATACTACACACTACACAATACTACACAATACTACACACTACACTATACTACACAATGCGACACACTGCACTACACAATACTACACACTGCACTATACTATACCACACACTGCACTACACAATACTACACACTGCACTACGCTATACTACACACTGCACTACACAATGCTACACACTGCACTACACAATGCTACACACTGCACTACACACTATACTATATACTGCGCTACGTTATACTACACACTGCACTACACAATGCGACACACTGCACTACACAATGCGACACACTGCACTACACAATACTACACACTGCACTATACTACACACTGCACTATACTACACACTGCACTACATAATAGTAAACAAAGCACTACACAATATTACACACTGCGTTACAAAATACTACACACTGCACTACACAATACTACACACTGCACTACACAATGCGACATACTGCACTACACTATACTACACTACACAATACTACACACTGCACTACACTATACTACACACTGCACTACACAATGCGACACACTACACTATACTACACACTACACAATACTACACACTGCACTACACTATACTACACACTGCACTACACAATACTACACAATAGTACAAAATGCACTACACAATACTACACACTGCACTACACTATACTACACACTGTACTACACACTGCACTACACAATACTACACAATAGTACAAACTGCACTACACAATACTACACACTGCACTACACTATACTACACACTGCACTACACTATACTACACACCGCCCTCTGCTTGGCCTCCTCTCTCCCCATGTGACCTCCAGATGTCCCGGGGTCAGTGTTGTTGGGGGGACACATTGAAGGAGAACTCCGCTGAGTATTGTCTGTATGTGACGTGTTCAGTGTGGAGCAGAGATAACACGGGGAGATCCGGAACCCAGAACAACCAATCAGGTACCTGCTTCCTGTCTGATCTGGGAAAGATGAATCCTCATTGGTTGCTGTAACTGCTGATTGATCTTTGCTGGAGATGACAGCTGGGACACCAGAGAGTGCGGTGTGTAATCTGATCTCCACGCTCCTCAGGTCTCTCTCCCGGCTACTGAGTATAAAGAAAGGAAAGTTGGCTGAATAATGTTACATTTTGGGGGCCACAACCAATCTCTGCTCCCCCCCCCCCCCCCCAATACATTATCACACCATTCTCAGGTTCACACCTAGGTCATTGAGCCAATGAGCTGTTTTCGCGCGGTTGTCATAAAGTTTTTTTGCTTTGAAAGCCGTGCGTTTTATCAATGTATACAGATGTCCCTGGGACCAGGGACATCAATGGGAATCGGTGTTTTGCGCAATAAATTGCTCAGGTGTGAACCTCGCTGAAGAACAACAGGGGAGCGGCTAGACGTTTCCGATCAATATTTTTACCAGGCAGAAGGTGAAGTGCTGCAATCACCGGGGGCCCCACAAGACATGGCTCCAGTGCTGGTTTGTGTGTGTCCCCAGGGGGGGGGGGGGGGGG